TTTAAAGTTACATGCACTACGAAAATTAGAAATACAAATTAATAATATTCTTCATTTTTCCCAATCAAAATCAACTTTCTTTCAATATAAACCAATAAATCGTATAATTCTCGAACGTGCATTTTTATGAAATGTATAGATAGAAACATCTTCGACCAATTGCAACGAAAACAGTCCGCAAATTCGCCCTGTCCGGATCATCGAAACCACAATTTTGACCGAGCAGCTGTAATTAAACGGGCTAAAACTGGATAATTGATGAGGCACGTGTAGGACGAGAGGATCGGCAATATTGACGGGTGGTCGGATATCCGTGCATAAATCGAACGAATACTCGGTACATGTATATAAACATACACTTTATTATGATAATTTATAATTGCATTCGTATTCACAATGAATATGCGCAATAACGTATTGTAATTAGATGTACAAACTGGTCTATGAAGTAATAACCTAGACTAATCAAGTTTTGCGACTAATTATATACGGCCCACGTACAAATTAGATTCCAAATCGATCCGTCGTATCTACAAGTTATCGTTTTGTTTTTGAAAAGAATCAAAATCTTCGATCGAATAAAATTTCATTTCATGTTATAAATTAATAAAATTCTTTCTTTCTCCTTTCTCCTACTTTTGATGATTTTATATAACTATATAATCATCCGTCGAGATCGATCCGGAATCCCGTCTCGTTCGTTCGTTCACATCGTAGAATTCCAACGACAATCGATTCTTGTGGAATAGTCGACGGAAAACTCGTCAATCAGAAACTTGTTCGGGAAATGAAAATGCAAAAGTAACGCGACAAATAGTTTCTTGCGAATCGTTTCGAACTCTGTATTCCCCAAAAAACTGGTAGGAACTGAAGTGATTGGCAATCCATCAACGTACCTCGAAATGTATCGGTTTCGCGTTTTAGAAGCGTTGAGCCGTTTTCACAGACTTCTGTTTCTCCCCCCTTTTTTTTTATCTTTACCGTTTATACCTTTTTTTTACAATATTAATTTTATTCTTTTTCAATTGTTTATACAATTTTCTCCTTTTATCCTAGGCTTTCGTCCTGTGTCTTCAAACGAATATATATATAACAAATATCTTCGGGAGTTTTGGAACGTTTTAAAAAAATTCGTATCTTTGTATAAGGATTCGTATAAGATTGAAAATGAAGCCATAATTTGTTTCTTTTTTATTAGTGTTGTACTGTACACAGTAAGCGATGAACAATCTCGTATGTTCGCTTATTTGCTGAGCAATTATTGTAACAATTTCGGTTTACCGGTTCCGGTAATAAAGCATAGCTATATAAATACTTCTCCGTTATCTATTCGTTACGATAATAAAATAACGTTTACATCGTCGTCTCAAGGAATTAACTGGATTTTCTTATTAAATTACATCGATTTCACTGCAATACCGTCTTAAAATGAAAGATATCGTCGTATCAGCTTCTTCGAGCGTTGAAACGTTTCAATTTACGCGCGCGCGCTACTTTTAAACGTTAATCTCGCTTCGAGGGCGCAATATTCGCGTTTGTGTGTACACTAGGTGTTGCGTGCCTGGACCAATGACGATATTATTCTTCGGCAAAAGTTGAAGATATTAATTACTGTCCATACAGTCGATAATAAAAATGAATGGAAAGTAATCAATTAAAAACTAATCATACTTGACAAACGTTTCTTTAAAAATAAGGCTATAATATATCGAGAGTTTTATCAAAAATACAATTTCTTTTTCTTTCTTCTACGACGATTTAATAATATTATAAAAAGGAGAAGAGAGAAAGAAAAAGAAAAAACGAATCCATACGATCCTCTTTCGAGATATATCCGATCGAATCGAGTCTTCCACGATTCGAATTTAAATCTAACGTAAACGTGATTTCCCGAAAAATATATCATCCACGCAGCAACACGACAGAATCGAAGCAACGTCTACGCTCGTGCTACGCTCGCACGTTTAAAAAAATATTTCATCTTGAATCGACCTTCATCGACCACCAGCCACCCCCTATCAACCTCTCTGCTCATAACCAAGCAACGAGATCGATCGTGGGCAGCGATTTCGTGAGGTAAATTGCTGCTTGGCCAGTGACAGTCTCTCCTCTTCTATTTCATCACCAACGTGCTTCGATTTGAACATTTCTCGACTCGAGAAAAAGGGGATGGGGCGGGATGCAAGGTCACGGGGGGAGAAAATAGAACGCATACAACGAAAACATGTTATATACAAATTCACGTCGTCGTTTGTGCATCTTGACGTACACGAATCTTATTTGAAGCTTCCGTTGCACGTTCTCTCTCTTTCTCTCGCACACACGCACCCACACATACAAACGTTCTTCCACTCGCTCCGCTCCTTTTTTTTTTTTTTCTTAACTCTCGAGAGCAATCGATTCGACGGCCACGCGAGAAAATTCACTCGAAAATTGTTATTACATACTCGAACGTACAATATCGTAATAATAGAGAATTATTCAATAAGCATCGCCAAATGTTTCGATGTCTGTACGAATTTTTGTTTCCGTTTGTTTTCTTTGTTAGTATACAGCGTATATACATTGGTCTTCTATTAAGTTTTGGCAACGTTTCGATGAAGGCGTTCGTTTTTTTAAAGCGACGATTCACGGAGGGGGTGGAGATCAACGAAAAAGGGGGATGAAAGGAGCAAAAGGAGACGTCTTTCTACGTCACTTTCGACCTCGTTCTAAACTTGGACATTCTGTCGGATCGAAAGATACACAAAGGAACTCGCCACGATCAAACTTCCTTTTAATTGAAATCCGTTTTTCGTTCTGACGTTTTTGTTTTTTCTTTTTTTCTTTTTTTTGCAACAATGTAACGGAAACACCGATGTCCCCACCGATTTACCGGTGGAAAGACGTCGCCACGATCGATTCGCTCTCTTTAATATAGGATGTCGAGCGAATCTCCCTTTCGTTTCGATTCAACGGTCACGGGTTTCATCGGTTCGTTTTAAATGAAACTTCGGCTGATTGGCCATGTTCGGCGACCTAGATTAAGACAGATTGGGTTGTTTTCATCCTCCAATAATCTCTGATATCATGTTTGCTATTCGATTAAGAAGTGAATTTATTAAATTGCTTCGAATGCTGAATACCGAAAAATTGGTAGATATATAAAATTATGGTATTTTTCTCCAAGATTTTTTTGCAAAAACGTCTTCGTGTTCAATATGATTCCTTATTCCAATTTAGTTTAGTAATAGTTTCTATAAAATTACAATTTAACTCAGAATAAAATTGTTTGTAAGCAAATGAATAAATATAACTGCATAAATCTTTTTCAACATTTGAGGTTGAGAATGTATTCAATATTCAGTTGAATAAAAATATTAATGGAACAAAAAAAATTAATCGATTATTCAACACGAATTCTTTAATATTGTAAGTACAAAAGAGATAAACGTTGAACAGGAACAGGTAAGTTTTTCATGACGAAGAAAAAAATATACAAATTCCTTATTGCTTAATAAAATACCACAAATATATATATATATATACACATATACGATAAAATCTCGACTTGCAGCAAATCGTGCTCTATCCAAACGAAATCGAAACATTGCCGAACAAAGCTCATCGAAGAAATGTCGCACATAATTATTATTATCCTTCCTTCCCCTTCAATCAACTCACGTTTCCTTAATCGATTTTCTTACAAAAAAAAGCCATATCAAACGGCTAGAAAACGCCGATTCACGTTTAATTAAACGCTAAATATTGGCACCGTGTTACTTACATACGTGCGTGTCCTGGTCATCCTAAGTCAAAACACGTAAGAAGGGAAACGATTACGGCTATAGGCGAATCGATTGTGTCTCTGTACGTACGCGTATATCTTTATACCGTCCTTCATCAATGCTGCTGTGAAAAATAAATTCGAGAACTATTATATCGACTCTCTCGATTATTCGTCGTCTACATCGTCTCGAAACGCGGACCAATGTAACGAGTCAAAGTCCATATTTACACGTTCACCAAGGGTTTTTCTGGTCACGGTTGTTCGTGAATGAAGGCATATTTCCGTCTCGTATAAATGAAACAAAGAAATAAGAAATAGTCTTCGAAACGGTAGGGCGGTAAGGAAAGCGCAGATCGGATTTTTTTATCCTCTCGTGTAATTTTACGCCGTCGATCGATCGTGTGGGCTCTTCAATTTTTTCCACCACGATGTTTTAAATATCGAAAAAAAAAAGGGGGGAAAGAAAGAAAGAAAGAAAAAGATCGTTAAAATCGGTGAAGCTTTTCGAATCGATTCGCGGTTCAACTCGCTTCTCCAATTTCATGGATCGGAAGTTTGTGTACACTGCTGTTGCATTAATTTTTATTCCATACTTAATTAATTTGTATCGTAGAAATTCGATATTTCACCATATCTTTTTAACGATTTTACCGTTATAAAAATACACAGTTTCTTTTCAATAACAGAGTAATAAATCAGAGAGATTCTATATTTATTGTTTCCATTAATAATAATTCTATAATTAATAATTCTCTCATAGATATTTTTCCATACACTATACCAGTAAATATTGTTTCAATCTATGGATAAATTATATTTCAAACTTTCATTAGAACCGATATTATTTATTTTTATTTATTAGTTTAAGATTCTCGAACAAACTCAATTACCCAAACTCTTGATCGATGGTTATAAATCGTATTTTCGAATCTCTCTTTTTCTACGACACGTCTTAAGATTTTTTTTGGGGGGGGGGGGGGAATCGAGGGAAAATTACACGAAAGGAACGCAACGACGAGTAGCATCGCGACGAGAGCTGTTTCTCTGAGAACGTCGAAAGCACACTCGAAGTACAGCGAATATTTATTTAAAAACATCTCGACGCTACTCTATGCATAGTAATAATTATATTACGGCCGATCCATAACATGTTAAGTGCGCGTAACGATTATCTCGAACCATGTTACTCCCCCATCATTGTTCCGTAGAACCTTTTCTTTTCTTTTTTTTTTTCCCCTCGCTCGTATCGCTTGGTCCTTCTCCTCTGACGAACACGCAACCTCTCGATCGATCCACGATTTCACGGAATAATTTAAAGTACTTCTTTTAAATCGTGAGATTTGTCCCGAGACGTGTCTCGCGTCTAGTGATGAGATCAGACTGTGAGATAAGAAGAAGCATACACTTTATACAGAGCGGAAAGTAATTTCGAGTAATCTCGATTTCATGACTAGTCGTATTCATATATTCATCTCGAAACAAATCTCATTTCGTTCGAGGATCTTTAATCCTCTACGTTACCCGTGTAACTAATATTTCATTCTTATTTGATTTTCCCGCTGATGAAATTTCGTAATCGAAAGTAATTTGTTCGTAATAATTTGTAATTCGTGTGATTTTTCACTCAAAACTTATTTTCAAAAACTATAATAAATATATAATAAATATAATAAATATTATGATAAACTATTATACAAATAGGAAAATTAATCCAAGACTATCTCGACAAATCTTTTCTCGATCGATCCCGAGAAAGAAACGATTTTTGCGAAGAAACAAAAAATTCCTTTTCCCCTTTTGCTCGCATCGTTAGAAAGCAATCAAGCACGCCAACAAGTCTTGGAGTTGTTCGAGAACTCGTCGAATCCTTCGTTCAAAGCGAGACCGGGGGAGGAGGATGAGACACAGAAATCACAGGGGCGAGGGGTTAGCCGAAGAGTCTCGCGAGCTAGAGGGTCTCCAGGAGGTTCTGGACGAGGAGGGCGGGAGCGGTCACACGTGCCTTCCCCTTTCTCGACTGTCTACAGGTACGTACGTTGCAACGTGGCGCCCGCTCAAGCTGCTCCGACTTGTTGCTGTCCTGCTCGAGCTGTACTGACACACTGGCGACACGCGGTGTCGAACAGCCGCCCTCCTGCAACAGACAATTCGACATGTTTGAAGGGGAGTAGTGACGTTTACCCGCCCCGTCGAGCGTACACAAGCTGAAACACGCGTCGAGGGTGCTTAGATCGTGAATCGTGGCTAATCAACCCCGCATGCGGATCAACGCCTTTGACTTTTGTGCAATGGCGTGTAATCGAACTATTTTTGTTCCTCGTTGCTCGCGGATAATTAATGGTTAATTCAAAAATCGGATGGATTGTTCTGGATTGTGGATAACAGATATCGAATATTCTTGGAATTGGGAAATTTCGGAAATTTTGGAACAGAGTTACGAGAGAGTTAAAAAAGATTCTTGGGTTATTATTCGCAAAAATTAATTATTTCAAAAGTTTCGAAAGTTTATTCGGTAGACTGGAAATGGGGGAGAAAAGGGGGTTGCGATATGACGATTTTAAAAGGTTTAAAAGGTAAATGAAATGGATTTTTGAAGCTATTATTCGACGAGAGTGTAAATTTAAAATGATCGTAGAAACAAAATTATTCTTCTTACAGAAGAATCGATTTTATATTCAATATTTAGGGAAATTTATCTTTTCGTAATCGTGTTTGTATTGTTTCTTTGAATATTATAAAAATGTTTGCCATAACACAATAAATTATATCTTTTTCCAACATATAATATCTTTATGATATATAAAAATGTTATGTTATTTCATGGAAATATTATTTTAAATATATTGTTCGTAATGTTCTTTTAAGTCAAGTTCTTTTAAACGAAAAAAATTGTAAGAAAATACGTGTCTTAATTAAGAAAATTGTTTTACTAAACATTTCTAAACAAATTCTTTCTCGTTTAAATTCTACCATTTGACATTCGCAAAATAATTGCTTTCGTTTACAACAATTTTACCATTTCTTTACCCAATTTACTCTTTATCGATCACATTTCCAACAACTTAATAATCCATCGAAGTCACTTCGAAACCAAATCAGAAAAGAAAAGTGAGAAAAGGATAGATAGAATCTATAACGACGGGGATAAAAAGGGAAGGATATCCGTCGAGCGATCAATAGGAAACATTTTATCGAGGAAAATAAGGAAAGAAAATATAATATAGGGAAGATGGAGAAAAGACATCGATTCGAAGTGGCCAAGTTTCTACGAGTTGAATCGTTTACGACTGGAACGAATTGTTCCGCGAATGGGCGGAATGGAATACAAAAGGGGATGGAAAGGAGGGTCGAATCTATTTAATTAGAATTACAGCGATGCGAATATGACCGAGGAATCTCAATTAATCCTCGAAAGAGTTTAAGAGGCAGGAAGTGTGGACTCGCGGTATCCGGCAGACTAATTTGTTCGATTACCTTCGTCCCTTCGCTGGTACAGGGAAAAGCCCTGCACCTCTTACACGACTCGAACACGAAATGAAGCCGAGAGAAGAATGGTGGAAACATTAAAACGAGAGGGATCAAAGAGAAAGGGTCATAAAGCGGGGATCAACGTCTGGAAACTTGATAGAGACATATATAATATTGTGTAGCTGATCGTGTCATTTCACGGTGGAATCGATTCTATACGTTGAAAACGTGAACTAATAAATGATATTATGAATCGAAAGTTTTACAATTTAGCAGTTTAACGGGATGGGAGCCAGTGATTATTAATTATTGTTGTAACTCTGATGTTACATCGTGATGGCTCGATGATGTAGTTGTTTCATTAATTCCGTTGCACAGTGTTTCCGTTGTACAATGTTTCAACTATGTACTTTATGGAAAAATATAACGTGTATGTGTGCATTGTACCATGAAACAAATGGATAATGGTTTTACTTATACTAATGGATATATAGGGATAGAGTGAAATATATTATATTTTATACCTGAGTGTATTGAATTAAAGGAAATAAGTAACTAATTGATTTACGTAATTAATTTAACAGCACGAAGGAGGAAATTTTGTATATTTGTGTCGAAATGATATAAAAATTCGTATAATGAAGCATTTCTATTTTAATAATTGAAATTTTTGTTCATAACTCAAATAATGAATCCTTAATTAAGGTATCACTCTATATACGAGCTTTTTAATTTTACTTGAAAGATAAGTGAAACATTGTACATCATGAACATCTTATTATACAATATATACTTGATCTGTTTTTAACGTTACATTTATTTAAAATATACTAATTGATTTTTTGTGTACGAGGAAAAAGATTACTAACCGACAAGCAGATATTTCCTTGATGCTGATGCGCACGACGACGAGATTCACTTTGCAACTGCCACGCGCGTATGTAAAGATCACCGCGATATACGAGGCCGCCCCTTTTCGCTCGTAACATCAGGTGCCACCTGAAACGTAAATATACAAAATATATTTCAATCTGCCCCAAATACGATCAAATTTAAAATGATCTCTTCACGCGCGACAATAAATATTCACCTCGGCACATTATTTATGAGATCACCAAATTTCCCATATTTCTAGGATTTAGGACACATTCGTCCTCACGTGTCATTTGATATATTCGATAGAAGAAAATATTTTAAATTGAAAGAAATTATTTAATATATCATTTATGTGTAGATTTCAAATGTAGATGTTGTTCGGTATAAATCGATCGAGGAAAATTTTTAAAAATTTATATATATAGAATACATATATAGAATAAAGAAATCAAGAGTAAAGTAACAGTAGAATTTAACATTAATCACTTGTGATATTTAAATGAAATATTTTAAACTTAATCGTAAATTAATCCTTTCAATGTTTCTATATCATACTTTCTCTATTTGTTTTCAAAAATTTTTAAAAATTATAATATATATTCCGTTCCTTGATCGATTTCTCTCTCCAAAAAGATTTGAAGAAAGAGAACAGTATGGTTTATGTTCGTGCAGAAGTAAAAGAGTCTTTATTCATTTTTCCGATTTCGAACCATAAACGAGAAATTTCTCAACGAGATCGATGGATGATGATAATAATAATAATAAAAAGAACGCGAAATAAATTGCCATAAGATTGCAATTCATGCTCGCGTACACGATGATGGAGCTTCTGACGAGCGTTCACACCCTCTCGATAAAAATAAATTCGTAAATGACACACCCTTTTCACGCGTCACTTCCGCGAGCGCAGTTCATTCTCTTTTTTCGCGGCCGAGCGGCGTGTTTACGAGGCGGAAAAGAGGGTGAATATCAGGAGTCAATAGTCGAGGAAGGCAGGGAGGAAGCGTGCGCGATCCTTTATCACATAGTTTGCTCGCAACATTAACCTGGAACTCTTGATACTTTCTAACCTGAGAACGAGTTTGAGCGAAGATGAAGATTATTTAAAATCTAGAGCCTGTTGCGTCCACAAATTATTAAGCTACAGCTATTACAGCGAAGAATAGACTTTATATCTTTTGCTTATAAATTTATAAGAATTTTTTAATAATCTTTATCCAAAAGTTAATCGTTCTAAATGTTTAAATAGAAATATTTATAATAATATTGTGCAATTAATTTTTAGAAATAGAAATTCACAGGGACAAAATGAAACATTCTTTTTTTTCATCCTTATATAGTGTTTCATTTTAAATGCCTTTCTACTTTTTTTTATTTCTTTGATTCCAATCACTATCTTCTCCTTAAAATCATACATACGAGCTTATATTAATAAATAATCTGTAGATTCGTTTTTGCAAATTATTATTATCATTAAAATATAAATATCAATCATTAATTTCAATTACTAAGTAAGAAATCATTCGAACAAAAAGGATCCAAGAAACTTGCCTTGCTAAACGATTCATAGATGAGTTTTGGGATGGTCCACGATAATTTCCATCGATCTTCGAATTTTCTCGAGCGTTTCATGTCGTACATTTCATAAAGAAATAAAAGGCAAGTGTATTCCAGCTTTCCTCGTACCATTAATTCCCACCTCCTCGTCGTTTGTTCTCTTCAACCTCTCAGTCGCCTTTTGCACATTGTTACCAAGTAATTGTTCATTGCTAACTATATCCCAGTTAATTCGCCCTCGAGGGAGAACAGTTACTTCCACGAAACACTTGAACTTTGCGTCACGTTCCTCTTTTTTCCTATTCCTTTCTTCCATTTACTCCATTTTCCACCCCTTTCGACACGGTCATTCCGGACCCGATGTGAAATTACTCTTTAATCCCACGAGCGTGCTGCCATCTCTGTAACGCATTCAGTTGAATAATCCTGATCGTTATCAAGATCGTTACCATTTATCCGGGAACAGTTAAGCTAACAGTTAAGTTTTCGAGGCAACGATGCCTAGGGTGCTCCTGTAATCGAATCCATCGCTAGTGAACGCCATTGCACATCCGTATTTCCCGCTTTCATCGCCATTTTCGAAATTTCCAACCGGTCGTTCCGTTAACTATTCAATTTATTTTTTCCCCCCCGATTTTGCTTCCTCTTTGCTCGAGATTTCGGCCTCGAACCACGTGGATTTGACGCTCGATACGGAAATGTACGAGGAGTTTCGTTGGAGAGATTGTAGATAAGCGTATGATACGACAAATGATACGACAGATATTGAGTTTAAAATGTTGATATTCCGTAACAGATAATAATAAATTGTTCAAATAATGATATATAATCGAATTTAAAATTGAATTGAATGTAACGAAATGGTAATTGCTCAAAAATTTATTTTTTTTCTTGTGAATCTTTTCATTCTTTCTTTCTTATCCTTTATTATTTTTTAATATATACAATAATGAATGTTCCTTGAAATTTTAATTTAAAAAGTATTCTTTTCCTATATTACAAGTATAATAATATACATAACACAACTATATTTATTAAACAATTTTTCAATCTTTTAATTATAAAAATATATTCCTCTTTACTTATCATAGATCACATAAAAAAAAATGTCATCAGAAATAAACTTGCCAAATTTTCTCTTCTAACAATATTCAAATATTTTCACTTCGAATTAGCAATTAAGCACCTTCGAAAACAGACGTCACGTAAATCAAAATTCGAGAATCAACGCGAAATAAATATATAGTAGAACGGCGATCGTAACGAAGTGGCAACGTGTAGTTTCGTTAGACCAAACGATATCGGCCATTTTGCAGCGGATGAAAAAACACGATTCTTCATGAATTATAAAATTGCCATTTACAGATAAAAGCTGCGTTCCGATGTAACGTGAGTGATTGAGCGCGAGATGATGAGAATGATGAAGTGCACGAGAAAGAAAAATAGCAGATATTAAAGAAGAGGAAGAAGATCACAAATGAGAAGAAAAGAGAAATAATAGAATTGTTAAATAATCCGATATTGTGTTCTTATGTTGTACACAAGTATTAATTATATTATATTTGTAAGAGAAAACGAATTGATTATATTTTCGATTTTCTGTATTTTATTGCTTTGTCAATCGTGTGAAATTTAATAACAATTCAACAATAAATTAAAACATTGAAGAAATATTGTTTTCATGAAGTTTAAGTCACTTGAATTGTTGTATATGTAATACTCTACCATTCTCTTATATTATGTTTAAATCGCTCAATAATTTCCTCATTTTTCTCTCAAAAATTTGGTTAATATTAGTAAAAAATATTAGTAAAAACATATTGAAACTGTTAAAAAGTTTAAAATCACCAATGAGAAATCTTCACTGAAATTTAAACTTGTTGTATTGGAAAATCTATTTCGTAGAATTTTAACGTTATTTATTATGTTATGTATCGAAAATACTTTGGAATCAATTTTTCTCCGGTGTTTTCTCGAAGAACAGAATTTCGTAAATAAATTTTCCAAAAAATCTGCTCGCGTGAATATGTGCACATGCGATTTCAGGCTCGGCAGGACGAAAATACAGAATCGGAGGTAGCGTCAGTAAATTCCCGATTTATCAGCCCGACGAGCGCTTAACGCAACGGTGACGACGTTATCGTTGCCTATGGAATCATCCTCTGACACGGTGGCTTTCCTCGGAATTTATACGTTTAAAAAAGTCACGATACAAAGAGGAAGTTGCACGTCCAACTGGAAAAGCTTACGCCGCTTCTGGATCACATTCTGATTTATATTTTATACTCAAAATGTAGATCTATAGATATTATTTCGTTGTTTTAACGGAATTAAAGATTCATATAAATTTTGGCATTTTTGATAGTTCGTTTTTGAATTTTATTACACTATAAATAATTAATATTAAATTGTAATTAATGTTTCTTTGTTTCATATTTATTTCAAAGTACACACAGTATATTATTCATTATATTTCGAATTTTTCAATAAATAATAAATATTTAAATACGAGAAAGTAATATATATTATTTTGACAGAACAATGAACAATTATTTACTCTACTTAAAAATTTTAATATAACCAGTATGTGTTTTATTATTTTAAGTGTATTCTTTAAAAATATTATGATTCTCATGTTATTCTTAAATTTATGAAAAATGTCATTTATTAAAAAATAATTGAATCCAAAATAATTCATTTATAAATAAATATTGCAAATTATTAGTAATTATATTTGGCAAATCTTCATTCAATTTATATATCGACGTATTCGATTCTATCACGAATATTCCTCTGAAAAAAATTTTTTTAAATCCAAGAATGTGTGTGGATTTCAAAAAAATGTTTGAAAAGATATCGAACTAATATTGATAAGTTTTTTAATTTATCAGATAGTAAAATCATTTATATACATGGCATAACATAGGTAAACACCAATCATATTTTTGATAGATATCAAATCAATTTTCTCTCATATCATAACGCACAGAAATGCATCTCCGATCGATATTGAATGTTTTTCACTGATTGCTATATATAATTCTCGCTGTGAAAGAATAGATTCATCAATTAGACTAGAATAGATTTCCCTGCAAAATTTACAAGTGCAAAAGTTATATATCTCAACATAAAAGCATCGTAGTGTTGAAATTTCATGATATATCGTGTAAATTCTTATATTGTTTTTATCATAGACTTCAGCGAAATTCTAATATATATGAATTACAATTTTTAAAGTTTTTGTGATTAGTATTTTTACATGACTACGATTTACGATATTTTTCACGAAAGAGTAAACAAAAATATATATATTTTTGAAAATCTATCCAATTTATTTGTATTATGTTTGTACTTTGAATTTTATTTTCGAAATAAATAACGTATAAAATATTAAATTTTAATTCTAGAAATAATCTTAATTGACATTAAATTAATTAAATTATCATTAAAGATGATACGAAATGAAGATGAAAAAAATTTTTACATTGTGTTACAAATACAGTTGAAAAAAGCTGAATGATGAAACATCCTATATTACCTTTTCATTTGGAAGCATAAAATAAATATAAGTATATAAAATAAATATCGAATGTTTAAATGAAAATTTGATATGCATTACACAATATAAATAAATTTTTTCAGTAATTTAATTCCACATTGTGTAAATAGAGAGTGAGAAAATAAATTAGCTCGTGCTATACAATAAATCTGAAACAGTAGCTGTATATTTGAAACGTAAATGGAATCTGGAGCCAATCAACGAAAACCACGAACGATTTATGAGAAGTTAATCTGACACTTGTGCAGTCACTGCAAAAAGGAATCCAATCTATTGTGTATCGAAATAAATAAAATATAAAAATTTCGATAGCGTATCAAATTAATAACAATTCGACTAATCTAGAAAAATATAAAATCGGATATTTGGAAAAACCTAATCTTCCATATTTCTTAGACCCATATACTTACATATAATAAATCCCCATAACACTTAACATCTCCTTAAATTTATAAGAAATAATATAAATATCTAGTTCTTATAAAAACATAATATGATGAATACATCTAATTATTTTCATAATAATATTTTAACCTTATAATAAATATTACTTAATATGTCGATACTTCTAGTATTAATTTTTTTCTTAACATCGTAATAACGATTTTTTATAATGATATTCCATTAGCTATTCCCTTCTTTGTACATTGGGTAGAGAAATTTCTTTTACACAGTTCGGTGATAAGCATCGTTTAATAGCGCAACTTGCGTAACGATTACGCGTGCGATGATTTGTATTATATACAACAGAAGGCTCATAGTTAAACGTTGACCAATTCCACACTTCTTCTCTGATGAATAATTCATTCGCATGAATAAATCATGAGCCGAATGTAGTGAACAATGAAATGGTCGAAAATGCGGTGTAAGATTTGACAAATTTATCGTTTTACGGTATATTTACAAGCGTACGTCACCGTGTGGTGGTTAGAGGCGCAATCCACTTAAACAATCAATATTTTCCACATTCAATGTGCACCAGTCTCTACGCTTCATCGTATTGTTATTATTATTATTATTATTTTATTATTATTGCACATCGAAATACCACGACGTAAAACCACGAGATCGTTTCCAACTTTTGATTTTCTCCGATCACAAAGAAAAAATTACTTTGTTCGATTGAAATTGATCGATTTTTATTATTGCACTTTTAAAATGAACAATTCTGCTCGAAAATGAATTTAGATAAATTTGAATTTTAAAGAGAATTGTTTTATTCATCCCAACATTATTGGATGAAACGGGGCGAGAACGATTACTTCATAGGCTTGGTCTTCTTTAAAGATGTCCCTCGAATATGTATGTATTGTAGGGATAATATTTATTCGTGAAGATATTTCCTTTGCAAATTTATTCTGGAATTTTTGATCGCCCCTAAAAGAAATTCATCGATGAAAGTCTTCAGAAATTTATTCTGGGATAGATAGAGTTCTTTTAACGTGTGCAAGAGAAATTCGTTGAATAAAAAATCCGTCCTCATTTATATTCTTCTGTAAATTATATTGAAATTTTTCTAAACATTCACGGTATAATAAAATTCGGTTTTAATTTTTTTTTTTTGAAAAAAAATTAAATAAATAAGATCAAATTTATCTGACGAGGAAGACACTGTTCATCAAATATATACCTAATAAAATTTCTGCAGAATACATTCAACGCCCAGAATACATCAAGACATTCGAAATTCCCGAGTACAGGGAACAATACAGGTTCGTTCGCTGCAATCCTCTAATCAAGATACAACCTTTAATTACTGTACCAGGCATTTTCAAACGAGGATTATCCTATTATCAATACGTGGCTCGATTCTTTGAAAAAGGTGACGGGCTAAACGAAACGTTGGCGAGATAAATCAACAAAATCTCTCTACCTTCTTCCAACGGTGATTAAGCCGATACTAATGAAAAAGATCTCTCGTAACTATCAACTGGACACAAACTGCACGCGCCGTTCCCTCTAATATAGACCTCCACGGCCAGAAAACAAAGAGGCAGACTATTGTAATTACTCTGTTCCACGAAAACTCGCATACACACACACAGAGGTGGAGGAACGCGCGAAATGGTTCTTCCACCGTTGTACGCTATCCGTTCGCACCCCTTTCGAAACCTTCGCCACCCCAACGCTGCTCATACCAACCCTGCGGTCTGCATGGCAGATTTATATTTGCATTTAAAATCTGCACGCTGTGGCACATCTGTCAAACGGTGCATATTGAAATCTTCACGCGTAGTGGTAGTTACACCGATGGCGTAGGTGTTGCCAATTTGGTTCGCCCTCTCCCTCTCTCTTTTCCTCGTCACTTTTCGCGTTGTTTCTCCAAAATTTAACCCCTCGACTCGTCCACCCTGGACCATTTATGGGCCAACTGGTTGACCACGCCTACGTCACACTGCGATATTGTACCGGGCTCGAGCAATTCTTGTATGATTCCAAACCCTCCCGGATGGGCCATCATGACTGTAATTTTTGGACGCATTGCGATGTTAAATTGCACCGCGGCTTTTTGGCCGTTCAAGGAAAAAGGAAATAAAGTTGAAAGGTTTGTAAACGTTGGTTGATGGTACGAACGTGTTTCTATAGCTCGTGCACATCCTATGTGTACACATATGGACAATGGAATTTACAGCTTTTTGAATTGTGATTCGTAAAAGTATCATGAAATTAAATTTTGCATAATCATATATCGAAAGTTAAAAAGTTTGTGATTAAATATTTTTGTATTTATCTTATAAAGAAGTCATTAAAAATAATGATCTATATCTTCATTTGTCAATTTTACTATTCAATCTTTCGTAGAATTCCTTTGTATCTACGTATATAATCATCAATGATTTATCTATTTCTAATGATTAATCATCCACTAATCGACACACACGCTAAAACTCTACATATTACTATCAAATATTGGTCAATCACACCCTGGTTGACACGAGAACCATCTCGTGAAGTGATTAAACTGGATGGGAACGAAATTTTTCATCGATCTACATCAAACATCTAGGTTTTCAACGTCAATCAACAATCCATAAAAACCCACTAATTGAACGATGCTCGTTCCTCATCCTATCTCTGACTCCAAAAAAAAAAAGGAAGTCAACGATATACCCAATCCTCTGAACTTATTCGATATAAAACTGACTGAACCACGTTGGCCTTTTATCGATTAGCGAAATTCGGAATCATAATTTCGGTCAGCAAGAAAGAATTGATTCTGCGTGCTTGCAAAAACACGATTCGTCGCTGGAAAATTTACCGTGGCTTTTTTTAAAGATGCTATTATATAAGATGCGCGGAAATTATGCAATTAGCGATGGATTCGAGTGTATCGCGAGTAAATTTGAACATTAACCAGATTTGTATTTTTTTATTCAAGTAATTCAAAGAAGAAAGGAAATATATTTCCAAGCAGATTCGAAACTTAATATACTTACAAATATTCATTCAAAACTATCACTGTGAAAATTAAATACTTAGCAAGTAACGAACAAATCGTTATACACATAAAAGTGAATCCTTGAATCGAATTTTAGATTTATAAGTAACTTTATATTGATCCCATCATTAGTCTCGAGTGTCGAGAAAAGGTAGAAAAGAAGAGGGAAAATCGATGTCGACACAAGATTAGTATCGACCATCCTGTAACTCTGTGTTCGGACATATGTATATGCGCGTGAAAGCAGAGGGTTGGAAAACTGAGCAAACGACACGATTGTCATTCAGGGATGAAAGTTTGTCGTCAACTTTGGAGAGTTGAAGTTGCTAAACTGTTCTGAGAATTTGTTTGCGCGCTTATAAGTGGCTGTATCGTGGAATTTTTCAGCGAAAGGAGATCAAAGAGGTTCTCAAGATTTCGTTTACTTTTGATAATTTATCCTTGAGAATTGAGGCTGAGCGATGATGGCAAATTATCGTTATTTTTTTTTTAGGCAGTAAAGATATGTTTACACATGGATAATTTTCGCGAAATATATCGAGTTTTGTGTCGTTAAAATATTAATTTTTGATACAAGTTTTTAATAACTGTACGAGATGCAAAATTCAGAATGATTAAATATAATCTTTTCTTGAAGAAATAGAATGGAAATTACATTACGAATTAAATAATGTTATAAGTAGAATTTGTTGTCAAATTTTTGATTGATATCATAGCTCAAGTATCATTCGATTAAATTAACTTAAGATTAACAACGAGACGAAAAATTATATCCTTAATTATAATTTGTCAATTATCATCAATGTTCAATTAATATAATAACAGAATAAATTTAAGAGAAAAAAATTAATTTATATAATCTTTTCGTCATTTCTATATAATCTATCATTTTCAGACATTAATCATGAATGTCAGAAATTTAGAAATAGAAGAAATTAAAGTAATTCATGAAGTACTAAATATTAGAATTCATTTCTCACTCTGAAAAAGAACAATTATAATTTTCAAGGAACAAATGATAAAATCCTTAACGTGAGATGAGGTTAAATTTTAAAAAAAACATCTACACATACAGCTTCAATCGAAATTCAACGTAGTATAATCAACCCCCTTTATCTCTTTTTCTCTTTCAAACTCATTATTCAATTCACCAACATATTTACAACAACGAGAATTGCGAAAATCGCAGATATTCACTCACCTAGTGATGAGCTGATGCACCCTTGGCCACTGACCCCGCGACCTCAGTATCCTGACCGTTCCCAGAAGCGACGATCTGTGCGAGGGCGAGATCTCCATGGCTTTGAGATAGTACTTGAGGGAGGGCAGCCATTTGCCTGAAGAGACGAACGACGATTTGGCGTGAGTATAAAGCGATGGTCGTTACGCGGCCAGAGTTTAGATGTTGTTTCCTCTACTTTAAACTACTTTAACCCCGTACTTTGGACCGTCGCGACGGGAACCGTCGGCCTTTATCCCATTTTAAGCCATTTAACCGTTCCACCACTGTCACTTACCATTCTGGTACAGCCACGAAGCATATTCCGTGAGATGGTCGGGGCTTCGTGGTTGTAGCCGGACAACGTGTCGCAGAAGTGCGCCCGCTGTTGGACCGGTTGCCAACCTCGCCAGGACCAGATAGGCTGGTGTGTACGCTGGATCCAGGGATACACATTTTTGCAACATCCGTATACACTCCTCTGTCCTGTTCGTTTTCCTGGAAAACGAAATCATATCGTTTTAGAAGATCTTTAGGATTTTGTTTAACAGAGTGGTTTAATAGAGGCGATGAACTTTATATTTATTAGGAATCGAAATGAATATTCATATATATATATAGTGTCGAAAAATGGAACACCGGTGACGTTTAAAATAAATGTAAATAAAGAAAATATAGAATTCTCAAGTTCCATAAGGTTGAGATCAATAAATTTGAAATTGGGTTGCGCTGAATTTTTAATGGAACCAATAATGGATCGCGAAATCAAGGCTCTAAGTTGCTCGATATAGTTATACTCAGGTACATAGTGGCTTTACAATCTATCAAATGTTGTATTATAAATAGGCTAGTACAGTTCTTTTAAAAATAAATATCAATTTAAATGTATTTTGAGCCTATAATTTAAAAATATATATTTTTTTATAATCAAATTTCCAATTTCAGAGAATAAATTATAATGTGATGGTATTAGATTTAATTGAAATAGTTAAGTGTTGCTCAAAATACAAGGAATTTAACAGGAAACTTAATAGTCAATTTAATTTGTAAGTTGGTATAAATATAATGCAGTAAACTTATTAGTAAAAATTTTATACTTTATTCTTTTAACTTAAAAAATGAGCACATATGTTAATTTTGTAAATGGAAGAATTATGCAACTCGTTTGTGCTCAGTAATGATTTATTACCAATTACATTTCAGGCATGTTTCAACTGTGTTAACTATGACGACCTATTCCAATCATGTATGACGATCATTCTCGCGAACTGTAACATGATTACAATCAAGATATGAATGTCTGTACTTGCTTTTAACGCATTATGGACATCCCTGTACATCATTGTACATTCTGCGTGTTTCACCGTTCCGTGAAATGCCACTATCCATGACGCTAATTTCGCGTGAACTGGTTAATGCAATTTTCTCTAAATGACCAGCGGATTCCAAATAACCTAATAACATCTCTATGCTACTTGATCAAATTATATGAAATGGTAAAATATGATGTGACTAATCTTCATTTCGAAGAATAGAAAGTTATCTTATTTTTTTAACTAAATATTAATATACTCGATTATTTTGAAAAAGAAGTAATATAATTAAAGTAATCGATTTTTATTAAATTCTGGTATGGATTTATATGATATTGAAAGATGCGACGTATATTTATATATTATTATTGTATGTATTAGTTATGTATGTATTAATTATTGGTTATAAAAAATAATTAAATTTCGTTCACGTGATTTTGGTTTCAAGCGAATGATGTGCTAATATAATGTGATTTCAGTGATTTTCAATGATCGAAGAGCGTAAACAAAATCATTAAGATTATAATTATGATTAATATTATACTCTAATACTACAGAAGCATTTTTCTTGTAAATATTTCGCCCGTAATTATAACGAATAATCTTTTTAAAAATATTGTCTGTCCATAAATCAATGATGATGAAAAAAAAAACAATAAGCGATAAATAAACAAGATAAAAATAAAAAATTATAACACATGCATTAAAACCAATAAGCGAGCTAATTCTTATTAAATCATTTTTTTAATAACAATTTAAATTATTGTACACGAAGAGGCATTAACATAAAAAAATCGAAAACTTCAAACCCCAAAGTGTCGATTTTTCCATTTCCCTTTGCAACAACAATTCACCCACTACTCAAATCCTCATTGCTTGGCAAACTGAGAAACTAGTTCCACGGTTTATCGGCGAAACTACGTGGTTATCAATGATCTGCGAACGAGCTCGTTTCATCAAGACTTCGAATCCCGAGATACGCAACACGCTTCATAAGCTTGGTAATCCGCAGGCCGCGCTTCCAGGGATTTAACGGCGTAAAATTCCTTCGCGTTGGAAGGGCGAAAAATTTATGGGCATTGTTTTCCCTCCAGAACCAGACGAAAATAGGGTGTAGGGGGTGTAGGGCGGCATCTAGTGGACGAACTATGGCGGGCGTACGCACGCACGCCTCGCCCCCACCGTCAATTAAACTTTAATTTATCAGGCAGGAGGCGTTAATTAAAGTTTAATTTTGACCACGCCGCCAGAATTACCTTGCCACGCTAAATTTATCGCGGCGCGTGTACTTCGGTATACCATTGCCTCGATATATCATTAATAAAGTGGAACGGCGGTGGATTTGGAATTCTTCTCGTAATTTTGTCCGCTCCGCGCGACGGGGGACTTCATTAGACCTCGGGGCATTCGGTCGAATTATCCTAGATTTTAACTTGTTGTTGTTGTTTTAACCGGTGCGCCTGTCTCTCTGTTTATTCCTCGCTCGAATGGATTAGTTTAGTTAGCTTTCGTTGTAAAATATAGATAATATGTTTCACAATTAAGGGGAAATTAAGAACCTAATGCGAAAAATTCGACGAAACTCTTTGAAATCCACTTTTGAATCATCTAACGAGCGAAACATCGAAAATAAGAAACTGTTCTGATCATATAGTATAGTACGGGTATAAAAGCTGACCAAATTATTGTCGTCAAAGAAAATAGCAAAGTAAAGAAGAAAGATAGACTTTTTTTTTATCTAGTTGAAAGTAACAGAAAATATAACATTTATTAATGAAATTAAACTTGAATTTGTCAAGCAAAAGAATATCATGTATGATCTATTTAAAGACACACGTTATCTTAACACGAGCCTTGTCCAATCAATTATTGATGAAATCATTTCAACTGTTAAAAGAAAACAGATCGAAGAGAGAGATATTCCACATTTAACTTAATTTGTCGTTAAATTTATCAACGTGATAACTTTTTCGTTTTAAAAACTGACCTGTAAAGCTGGCCAAGATTGTAATGAGCGTTCACGTGGCCCGGTTGAGCGTGTATTGCTGCCAAAAAGTGTTGCTCCGCTTGATCGCCCACCGTGAGTGTTCCGAGGTTGTTATGCGCACTGGCGTACGTCGGCCACAGCCTGTAATCAAATAAACGCCGCTTATTTACAAAGTGATTAACGATTCGGAGGAACACGAGTGCATTTCCATGCATTTAATCGTAGAAGGGGGAGAGGGGATAATTCCGTTTTCCCTTCCCCTGTCCACACGAGCACATGTGCTCGTGTAATAATCGGCAATAGAGCTGATCATTGGAACAATTTTCGTCCTTTTTTGAAAATTTGCAAATTTGCCCAGTATCGTGAAAATATACGCAAACACGGCGAGGGATTATAGCGATTTTAATCTGGAATCGAGTTAACGAGAAGTAAAATTACGCCACAGCTGGAGAAGATAACACTTTTAACATTGGATTTTTATCGCACGAATACGTAATTTTTCGATAGGAGATAGATCAGAATAATAAAATAAATAAACTCATCTTACTAAATCATCGTAATAGGTATCGTGTTATTTTCATTTTTTGATCTTTATACATTTGTTAAAAAGCATTCTCTAGACAGGTTATCATTGCTACGAATCGAAAAACACGAAAGATCGTGTAAAATTCGTCATCAAAGTGAAACCATTACTAAGTCGAATCCGAATCATATTCACCCGAATTATTATCGTATCCGTTGCCCTAATCGATAATATCAGGTTCCCTGTATCGTTACATGGTGGATTGCTCGCATCAACCATTCTGTTTGATCAGGTAATTCCCAAACAACGTGACAGCGATGTTTTCGCTAGGACAAACCGTAGCAGCTGGTTAATTAACACAGCCAACCGGCGGCTTGTGCGCGGCCAAGGTGCAAATGGCTAACGAGCCGCCACCATTGGCCACGCTCGATAAGAGATAGCATCGTGCGAAGTTTCTGGCCACTCCAACGAAATTGCCTCCAACTTCTCGGCTGAAAGGGGGAAAACTATCGAAGAGGGAGGGGAGAGGTGCACTCTGAACCATAGAGACAAAGGCGAAACAGCGAACTCTCCGCTTTCAATCTCGCGGATTGAGGATTCGGGGGCGTATATGTGTGTGTGTGTAGACACGTGTGTGGAAGTGGCATCGTGGTGGAATAAAAGGCGAACTTGCAATGGCGTGAAAGGTGAATTAAGTAGTTCTTTCGAGCGAAACGATTCAACGATTCGACTCTTCCCATGTGGACAGGATATTACGTTTCGTGGAAACTCCCTCTCGAAAATTTCCTTTATTACTGGACGCCCATACGGTTGACTGGATTTGTAGAAATGGATATCTATTTCTACAATATAATTATCGTGGTTTAATTATCGCGTTTGAATGGACGAGGAAATTAAAACGGCGAGGCTATTGTGATTCTTTGTAAATGAAAGTTTCGATCGTGTTCTGAATGGAACAGGTTTCAAAGATTTTTAATTTTAAGAGAAATTAATACCACGAAATTATCTTCTCGTGTAAGAAATTTTAGTTTATCATTCAGTAGTTTTCGGAATAAGAATAATTATACGCAGTGTATCTCGTTCATATCTATTATTCCAAAAAATGTTTCGTACGAAAACTTTCGAGGGAAAGTCTCTTTTAAATTTATCACAATATATCTGCTTATTTCTCTATCCTTTTTCTATTATTATACGGTGTACATGTATACACGTAGATGTGTACAAGAAAATGTATGTACAACAATGGCCGGTATTTAAGAGCGGAATTCCACCTCTTATTTAATTCCACCGCACCCCCCTCCCCCCAATCCAATTTAGAGGTAATGCAGTTAGGGAAAATGTATTACGGTGGGAACGCGTTCTGACAAAACTTTCTTAACTTTCTGACGAGGAACGTATATTCTGACAGTCTGATTCTTCGAAGCAACGCAATTCATAACGCGAGGATTATAGAACAATATTATATTTCCGTGGGTGGAACGACACGATCTCGTCGTGATTTTTCAACGGAACTTCATGGAAACTGAATTAAACTTTCTTATCGAAATATAAAAGAATATTTCGTGGCTAAACAATCGCCGGAAAAACGAAACGAAGGGAATGGTCGACGTTTCTCAACGTTAACTGTCTTATAATTTTAAAGAAACACAACTTTGTCTTGTTGTTTAATTTGAATCGAGAAAAAAAAATTTAATTTATTTCGAAATTAACTGTTACTTTAATGGAAATTAACTTGAATGAAAGTTTAATTAATTTTGTCTCTGTTTATGGGATGTAGCTTATTTCATGTTATGATTCATTAGAAAAAAGATACGTGTTAAAATCCACTTCATTTTAGTTTGTTAATAAATATGATTGTATTTGTTAATATTTATCTGTTTCAATTTCTCGTTCAAAAGTAGAGTTAATATATTTATATAATCCCTTTTTATCCTTAAAGAAAGTAGAATAAAATTTGATTGCGTCCTTCTGGAATACCCTGTACTTTGAGAAATAATTTCCTTTTGAAGATTAAATAATTATTTAAAATTTGTTCAGAACGTATCGTAAAGAAATACATAAATAAAATTTGATAGATTAAAGTTTATCAAAGTTATATTATACATTTTTTGTAGATTCAAAGCAGATATAACTTTTTCAAATGTTTTTCGATTACTTTTTTATACATCAAAACTTAATAAAATACTCAAGAAATTCGATTTTAATAATTCATCGTTCGTTGTCACGCACAATATTCTTTTTTAAAATAAATCAATTGATAAAACATCGATTATAATATACTCAACTAATTCGAAGTTCTTCATTGATAATAAATGTTATTAACGGAATAATATTAAATATTATTTGACGAAACGTTTAATCATTAAATATTGAAGAATTTAACACATTTGTAAAATCAGTGATTTCATATGCAACAATAATACGATGATTTATTTATTTAAATCTCTTTAGAGAAACAAATAATGCAATCACACGAACATAATATAGTTCAAGCTCAATTAAATCACACCTATAATGGTGTACAGAGTGTTTCAAAAAAGGAGTGTTAAGAAGAGGAAATTTCTACAGAAATAAGTCGAGGAAAGGAAGAATAAAATTTTTCCTTTTAAAAAGTTAATTTTCAAAAAAGTTTTAATCCACATTCAATCCTTCTCTTCTTTCCACACTTTTCAAAATCCTTTTTTTCAAAATTTCAATTATACCAACACTGTCATTTTCAAATTTCATTTCAATTCTCTCCAAAATCAAAAGTCTCGAACAACGAAATCCTTTCTTTCCTTTTCGATTTAATTTTTGCGCCTAGAGTCAACCCCTTTCGAACCACTTGTTTTGAGAAATCCTGTACAACATACGTTCACGTCTGCAATCGGTAGAATAAGCACACCCCCATAATGAAGCGTTACCTTAAAGCGATCTTGGAGCAACGATACATAATTACAAAGCGTAGGAACCCGCGAACAGGCATAGGGTACGGGTAATGGGTCCAAAATGAGACCTCTTTAAATCACCGGCCACCTTACAAGATTCGAATGATTTAACTGCACGTTGGTGGCCGACATGAAACTTCTGCTGCGTAGTGTACACCTAAATCGCTTCGAAGCATGAAACTCTGCACTTAATAAAATGTCACTCGCACCCTTTCAGTTGCAACCCGTTGCTCGTAGTCAAGCACAGCGTAACCAGCTTTCATACGGGGAAAGTGAAATCTGGAGTTCCTTGTCTCCGTTACAATTTAATTAACGCAATTGTAATTTACGTGGTGTTTTGATCGTTTTGATTTCGTCGATCTCGTTTATTTCGTTACGCATAAATTTGACATCGGTTGTTGGAGGGAGATGTTTGAATAAAACGAAGAGAGATGAAATCAGTAAGAAAAGGAAAGAACTTAATAATTCATATTTTGAAATATAAGTTTTCACAAGAGAGTAATTCTAAAAAATGAAATTTTCCATCTTCGAATTGATTAAATTTTTTCTCAACTCAATATATATTCCGAAGAAATGAAATTAGATCTGAAATAATAAATCTTTTACTGCAGATAATAACAATGACAAAAATCAAAGTAATAATATTTCGTGAATCATCCTACTATAGGTATGATATTAAAAAGAAACATAAAAAGAAATATATCTTGTAAACCATGAAATCATCTTACTATTCTCCTAAACTCTATCCATTACAAAAACCTCTTCCTACGCAATTGAAGAATAAAAGAACCTAAACCCCCACACGTGTTCCCCAATCGCGTGACATCTGTAAGCAGCAAATTGACTCGATCGAGACGTCGGGCAAATGTCGTTCCCTTATCGGCGTAATATTCGATATTAAGGGTAGCATCGCGACATACGGATCGTAACCACGCGTAATATCAGAAAGAGAGACGGAGAGAAATGTAAAACCGGTGTACAGGGAGGGAAAGGGAAGAATTCCTGGGAGGATATCTCGAGGATAGTTGTTTCGTAACGATGGAGGGGGAGAGAGGGTTTGTCTGCGAGAGCTCAATAAGGGTGCGCGCGAAGGTCGAAGGAGAAAGCGTAGGTGGAGGAGATGGGATCGTCGCGCGTGCAAGTTACACACAACGAAATGAAGAAAGCGGATAAAGGGAGGACGGAGAAAGAAATCCGGCGTGAGTGGATCGGCCAGCGTCGAAAAAGGGAGGGTATAATCCGAACGGGTATTCTATCGAGTCTGTGATGCATGTTCACGTTCCCGCGGTGAATCCGTTTTATTCGACGCGTTTCGGATGAATCGCATGTATATCCCTTCCTTTTTCTCCCGTTTCTTCCCCTTTTCTTTGTTTTCCTTCTTCGTTTTCCTTCGTTGTTGCTTCTCCTCTTGCATATTGCGCAAGATACGAACGATAGAATTTCTAGAATTAATTTAGAGATGAATAGTATTGGTATGTATGTAGAATATTGTATGTGAAATAGTGTGTGTATTTGGGATGAATTTTAAAATTATCGTAGAATGAGAATCTTTGATATAGGATTTTTTAAGAATGTTGATTATGAGATTGAAAAGTAATTCCTCGAAAATGTCGAGATTATGAAGTGAAGTACAGGTATATATAATGTTTTTGATCATCGATCATATTGATTTTTTCGAACGAAATATTTCG